AATATTACCTTGCAATGAAAACCAGACAGAAATGTCACAAGAAAAAAAAAAACCTACAGATCAATATTCCTTACCAATGTATATGTAAAAATTCTCAACAAAATGCTAGCAAATCAAATCCAAAAGTATATAAATTCCATCTTGGGCAAATGGAATTTATCTCAGGAATGTAAGGGTAGATGAACACACAAAATTTATTCGATGTAATACATACTAATGGACTAAAGGACAAAAAAGCCCACATGATCATCTCAATAGACACACTTTGACAAAATCCAACAAAATCCAACACACTTTCATGATAAAAACACTTAATAAGCCTGGCATGGTGGTGCATGCCTGTAATCCTAACTGCTTGGGAGACTGAGGCAGGAGGACCCCTTGAGCCCAGGAATTTAAGACTATAGTGAGCTATGATCACACCTCTGCACTCCAGCCTGGGAAACAGAGTGAGACCCTAGTCTCTTAAAAAAAATAAAAACAACACTTAATAAGCTAGGAATAAGAGGGAACTTCCTCAACATGAAAAAGGGCATCTACCAAAGGCCCGTGGCTAACCTCATACTTAATGGTAAGACTGAAAGCTTTTCCCTTAAGATCAGGAACAAGACAAAGATGTCCATTTTCACAACTTCTATTCAACAACGTACTGGTGGTTCTAGCTAATGCAAAAAGGCAAGGCAAACTCAAGAGATGCAGAAAAAGCATTTTATAAAATTCAACACACCTTCATGATAAGAATACTCAATAAACCAGGGATAGAAGAGAACTTCTTTAACCCAATAAAGAGTATGTATTAAACACACACACACACAACACAACTATAGCTAACATCACACTTAATGGTCAAAGACTGAGAGTTTCCCCACTAAGATCAGGAACAAGACAGGAATGTCTGCTTTCACTGCTTCTATTCAACATTGTACTGGAAGTTTTAGCTGGGGCAATTAGGAAAGAAAATGAAATAAAAGGCATACAGATTGGAAAGGAAGAATTCAATCTTATTTTTACTTATAGATGACATAATCTTGTCTATAGAAAATTCTAAGGAATCCGCTAAAATACTATTGGAACTATTAAATCAGCAATTCAGCAAGGTTTCAGGATACAAGATCAACATACAAAAACAATTGTACTTCTATATACTAACAATAAGCAATCAGAAAATGTATGAAGAAAACAATTCTATTTATAATAGCATCAAAAAAGAATGAAATACTTAGAAAAATTAACAAAAGAAGTGCAAGACTTGTATACTGAAAACTACAAAACACTGAATGAAAATAAAGATCTAAATCACTGGGATAACAACTTGTGCTCACGTATTGGATGGCTTAATATTTTTTTTTTTTTTTTTGAGACAGAGTCTCACTCTTTTGCCCAGGCTAGAGTGAGTGTCGTGGCATCAGCCTAGCTCACAGCAACCTCAAACTCCTGGGCTCAAGCGATCCTCCTGCCTCAGCCTCCCGAGTAGCTGGGACTACAGACATGCGCCACCATGCCCAGCTAATTTTTTCTATATATTTTTAGTTGTCCAATTAATTTCTTTCTATTTTTAGTAGAGACGGGGTCTCACTCTTGCTCAGGCTGGTTTCGAACTCCTAAGCTCAAACGATCCGCCCGCCTCGGCCTCCCAGACTGCTAGGATTACAGGCGTGAGCCACCGCGCCCGGCCTGGATGGTTTAATATTTTTAAGATAACAATAGTCCCTAAATTGATCTACAGATTTCAGAATCTATATCAAAAGCCTGCTTGATTTTTTTCAAAAATTGACAAGCTGATCCTAAAATTCATATGGAAATGGGAGGGACTTGGAATAGTCATATCAAAAGAGCAAAATTGGAGGCCTCACTCTTCCCAATTTCAAAGCATAATGCAAAGCTACAATAATCAAGATCGTACGGTACTGGCATAAGGATAAACATACAGATCTATGAAATAGAGTTTAGATAAGTATATGAGAAACTAAGGAAATAAAGAATAATTACTAAATCTAGAAAACACAAAAGCTGTGCAGGTAATAAAGCGATCAGAGTACTCTCTAAATGGCTCAGCCATGAGTATCATTTACACAGTTATAATTATATAAATGTTGAATATTGACCCAACCAATATCAAGTGAAGGAAGAGTGTAGATGCAATGGAGAATTCAAACTGTGCAAGCGCATGGGGTGGGTGGTAAAAGAAGGCTAAATACTCATCCTCTAAAATGGAAAGTCAAAGATAATGTCTAAAATTAAAACATCGAGAAGTCATAATAGCTTGGCTTGGTGGCACACACCTCTAGTCTCAACTACTAGGAAGGCTGATCTCTTGAGCCCAGGAATTCAAGACCAGCCTGAACAACATAGCAAGGCCCTATCTCTAAAAATAAAGAGAAGTCATAATATAAGCATGTTATTTATAGTTATGTTATTTATGTTATTTATAGTTATTTATAGTTATATATAGTTTCTATATATAGAAAATCGGTGTGTTTCAAACTGTGAGTTACAATTACTTAGTGAATTGAGAAATCAACACATACACATATACACACATATCCTCTATTGTGATGTAAAATGCATTTCTTACTTTTTGTCTCAATCAAAGATGTTTGGAAATCACAACTTTACACTGTGGGCATGTACAGCCTTAATTAAAATATAAACCTAAAGGAAATTTCAACATGATAAAGGTTGAATTTAAAGTTAATTTAACAAGTGTCAACTGAAGAATCATGAAGTTCATAAATTTGGAAAAGAGAGCTTCATTTCTTATGAGGGTAACAGCCTATAGGCTGGTCATCCTGACAGGCTGAAAGTGCAGCCTCCAGCAGGGACCAAGAGGGAGCACTTTGAGGGAGAGAAGTGAGACAAGAATTTATGCTGAATGGGTTAGCTAAACATCCATATTCAACAGGTTACAAGAAGAGCTATGAATATTCACAAAGGGGGAGTGTGCTCATGCATGTTACATACATCCCACGTTCACTTTAAATCTAAGTGAAGATTTACATTTAAATGCATTACAATTAGGCCCTATACCTCAAAAGGTGAAGCACAGGACAGGAAAGCACTCAGTGCACAGCCTCCTAAACTGGCCAGAACCACTCTGTGGTTGGTGGTCTCTTATGAGGAAGGAATGTTGGTCAGTTGCTGTGTTGGAACCACAAAAAGGAAGGGGAGTCAGATAAGACTTTTGAAAGGGTTGATTTCTGTTTAATCTTCAGGAAAGAAAGTTTAATGACAGCTAGCCAGGGAGGGGGTATAGTGAGGCATGTCAGACCATCCATCTGATCACAGCCAAGAACTCAACTTTTAAGGCTTCTCTGGGCTCCTCTTGGCTGAGAGGGGGTTGGTTAGGGGGCTTAGGATTTTCTTTTTATTTCTCACAAGGATATATCAAATTTTGAACTACAGAGGCAAATTTTTTACCTTCATACCATTTATACAGCACCATGTAATTGTTTAGGAATAAAACTCATTTCTTTACACTATATGTGGCAACTAGTCACGTTATATGGCTCCAAAATTTGTTTTTTGAAAACATTTTTCTTTGTGGTAGCATTTGTGGGGCCAGTTGCACATTCCAGTCAAGGCCAATTGCTGAAAATAAAGGCCAACTGCTACATTCACTATTCTTATATCTGTGTTTTACCAAATACATTTGTGTTGGTTGCCTGAAAAAAAAATTCACATGCAAAACATGTAACTATTAACTTAAAGAAAAAAAGTATATTGTAGATTTGCAAAATTGGAAAACCTAAACTCATTTCACAAATTGGAAAATACAAAGAAGGAAAACGAGGAGGAAAAAAATTATATTCAATCATGTAACTCCAAAATAGCTACTGTTGATGTTTCAGTGTTAATTTCCCATACTTATTTCTACATCTACATAAATGTACAACATGTCCATAAATCCTTGTGAGGTTTATATAAGATGTAAACAATTTGGAAAACAACAGAGAGATTTGTCCAGTATTTAAATGTTTCTGGTTTTATAATTTATTTTTCTAAGCAATAATACTTTCCTTATACTGAATGCTTCAATCTTGCTATGTTTTGTAACTTAAATGATAGTGGTTATGTTAAAAGCTAAGATTACTTCAATAAAATGGGCCAAATCGTGAGTAAATCTTCTCAGTGTGACATTTCACAGATTTTTTTTTTCTATCTTATGTATCTCTTATCTTTATGGACACTTGTATTTCATCGTTTAAAAACAATGGGTTACTCTAATTTGTTACAATTTCTTTATTTTGCTCACTGGATTAGACTTTTCTCGCACATTCTTTCCCATGCCCATAGATCATATATAAAAACTGATCATCTACTAGACCCCAAAGTAAGCCTAAATCTTAACTATGAGAAATGCTACAGGTCACATTTTTTTGAACAGGAAGGAATTCAAACTCAATCCTAACGACCCAAGTGTTGAAACAAACAAACAAAAACAAGACAACACCACTCAGTTAACTGATTATTGTTCTTTTGGCTTCTTGAGTAGGAGGAAAGTTGGGGCGAAAGGGCGGCCGGAATGCCTGTGACATATTGTTTTTTTAATTTTTTTATTTCAGCATATTATGGGGGGTACGAATGTTTTGGTTAGGAATATTGCCCTTGCACCCCCTCCGCCAGTCAGAGCTGCAAGCGTGTCCATCCGCCAGACGATGCGCATCGCACCCGTTAGGTGTGTATATACCCATCCCCTCCTCCCCCTCCCACCTGCCCGACACCCAATAAATGTTATTCCTATATGTGCACTTATGTGTTGATCAGTTAATACCAATTTGATGGTGAGTACATGTGGTGCTTGTTTTTCCAATCTTGGGATACCTCACTTAGTAGAATGCGGCGCCTGTGACATATTAATGGGGCCGTGCGCAAACCTTGTGTGACGTCGCAGAGGCCCCTTGAGTAAAACAGCCATTTCTATCTAAGCCACCTTAAGGGGAGCTGCGTCGGGGCCTCCGGGACGGCAGTGGGCCCGCTCACCGGAAGATCTCACGGTAACCATGAGCAATAAGGACACGTGTGGACGCTCTGGCCCCTCGGCCCGGGGATGCCCTAGAGGAGGAGCTCGAGGGCGAGGAGCTCAAGGGCGTGGCAGAGGTTCTCCGTGCTGCTCTACCACCTCATCTGACATCTGTTACCGCTGCGGTGAGTCTGGTCATTATGCTAAGAACTGTCACCTTGACGACACCTGCTACAACTGCGGGAGAACTGGCCACATCGCCAAAGACTGTAAAGAGCCTAAACGAGAGAGAGGGCAGTGCTGTTACACCTGCGGCAGACCGGGTCATCTGGCTCGTGATTGTCATCCTCAGGAAGACCAGAAATGCTTCTCCTGTGGAGAATTCGGGCACTTCCAGAAAGACTGCACTCAAATCAAGTGCTATCGATGTGGTGAGACTGGACACATGGCCATCAGCTGCAGCAAAGCGACCGAAATCAACTGCTACCGCTGCGGCGAATCCGGACATCTAGCGCGAGAATGCCCCATTTAGACGACCGCTTAAGTTTTTTCCCTTGTCCCCTCCCCCTCGCTCCTTTTGCTGATTGATAATTGTATTATTTTCTCTGAAACCTCTTTGCTGACCAAAAGGTTGATAGTTTGACGCTACTCTCAGGCCAGTGAGCTTTAATTACCATGTTAAAGAAGGAAAGGGCTGGAAAAAAAAAATCTCAAAAAAGTTGTAGATGCTTCACAATTAAGGTGTTACTTCTGTGCCATAGGTGAATCCAGTTATTGAATAGTCATTCTGAGCATAGTCAATTTCTGGGTTCTTTTGGTGAATTTCAACTTAACGCATTTAATTAGGAGATTCCAGTAGTGTGCCAGGCACCGTTAGAAGAGTTGACGATGTATCAGTGAACAAATCAGAACAAGTTTGGGAACACAGGCCTAGAATCTACTAACAAGAAAAATATGTAGTATGTCAGATGAAGGTAAATTACCACAGAGAAAAAGAACACCAGGCAAAAGGATAAGCAGAGAATGTGTATGTGTGGGGAGGAGGGAAGAATGTGGTTCTGTTTTAGATACACAAGACTATCCTGAGGAGGTGGTATTTCCTCAGAGATCCATGGAACAAATAAAACTGATTCAGAAAATGTCTATGACTTTGCTAAATTAATTTTAATTTTATTATATTGATGGCTTTGAATTATCTGACCTCATTAACTTTTAAATAATATTGAAAGACATCTCTGTCTGGCCCCTCATAGAGTGTGTAGTTTAATGAAAATAAATCAGAAAAAAGATGTATAATGTGAGTTGCTTTGAGAGAGAGAGAGAGAGAGAGCAATCAGAAAAAATGAAACAAAAAACCTAAACTTCAAATCATGAACATACAGATATTGATGCCACAGTTTGGATTTACAAATTTTTTAAATATCTAAGAAAATAAGTATAAGCATAAAGATTAAGCAGAGTTTGGGGCTTCAGTAATTCAATAATACTCTTCACAGAGGTGAAAATTATATTATTTAGAAGTTTCTCAAAAATGTATTTTAACAGATAAAAATGTTGAGTTTCATATGCTGGAAGCCATTTTTAAAAATCACATCTGAAAAACAATTGAACTTTTATAAAATAGAGAAAGCACTTTTAAACTCTAAACAAAACTTAGGGGGAAGGAGGTAACTATTGTATCAAGAGAAAATTGAAGTCGTAATGGATGGTTTAGAAAATAACAATAATGTCAAACCTGGGATATGATAGAATTTATAGCAGAAAAACTGGTGTAGGGGGTACAGTTTTTGGCCCATAAACTCAAATGGTCAAGAAATGTAACTTACTTTATAACTGAAGCCATGTTCTTTTGCGAACCTTCATGAGAGTTACTGTATAATCCATCTGAAAGGCCTCTTCAATTCAACTGAGTTCCTTTCAACTTCTGTGACGCTTTTGGGATCCTAAAAATTGATTCTGTCACTCTCTGTGCTGTCTCAATAACCTTAGGCACACTCCCAGCCCCTGGGGCAATCTCAGTCCAATCTGCCAAGACACAACATGAAACTCCTATATCGCATTGAGCAAACAAATTCTCACAACTCATCACTGTGCTGGACTCTATTTAGGAAAGGAGGAACACAGGGATCTGTGTTTGAATCCCTAAAAATCATCTAGAGTTCCATTTCCCATGCCCTCAGGAGTTTTGTCCAGCATTGGAGGGGGCAGACTGTGTCCCTTTATTAAGGACACACTCAACATATAAGTCCTCTATATGTCTTGTCCCTAGGCAATCTTTTCTAGTCTGGGGGAAGGGAAGCCTTATTTTGACTCATCAATATCCCTATGCCAGAAGATACAAAATGGTAGCCCTCTTAATGAACCAGGTTCACAAGTATGTTTAGTTTGACCTACACATTGTTTAACAATTTTTGTAAATTGAATGCTAACATTTAAAAATTGGAACATTTCTCATAAAAGCATTTATTTTTAGTCTCTCCGAAACAAAAGCAAAGATTAGGAAGCAATAAGCACACCTCCTGTGTGAAAACTTTCAGCTGCAGTTGAGTAGCACTTTCTCCTTACAGACAAGTCATAGGCTCCTCCGTTAATCCCAGCCCCCACTGTTCCCTGGGGCTTACAAAAATCCCAGCCAGAGTAGCTGGGACTACAGGCATGTGCCACCATGCCC